CCTCGACGCCCTCGACCAAGCAGTGCAAGTTCCCGAAGCGCTACAGGGCTGCCTCAGCCAGCTGGACCCCAACATTGACAATCTAGAATCGGTTCTTGAAAAGATGCAAAGTCTTACAGAGCAGGTTGAGCTCCAACCCATGCCTCTTGAACTGCAGACCGTCTTGGCAACATGTCCCGTTCTAGTCACCGCGCCCACGACTACGTTTGAGACGCCACCCACCGACTTTGCAGCAGCTCTGGACAAACTCGTCATGCTGCACAATGTGGTGCCCGAGCGCCAAGAACGGCTTACCAGCACCAATACCAATATCAAGCGGCGGGTGCTGGCGTTGATTGATGCTCTGGACGTCGTGGCAAGAGCGGGAACCACCGACACTGACACAATGCATCGCGTGGACACGTTACGGCAACGCGCACAATGCTCGGATGTGAACGCATCGCCTTCGGCCAAGTCGTTACCCGAGGCGTGGGAGCAGCTGTGCCAGGCTCATGAACACCTCAGCTCGCCCAAACAGAATGGGCTGAAGGAGCTCGCAGACTGGAGAGCAGAACATGATTCTGAGCATCATGACTGGTACCTGGCGTTTGTGCTGCACGAGACACAAGCCCTGTTGCAGCAGCTGCACGATATGATCGACTGGCAGGCCAAGACACTCTCCGTGGTCACCTTATGCAAAGAATATGCAAGCCGCATCACGCAGAGCGCCGTTGAACAAATTCAAACGCTACATGAGGAGGCGGCCGAGTTGCAGAAGAAAATTCAGGCAACCACAGCATTCTTGGCTTTTGTGTCAGATGCCATGCGAGCTGGTATACAAGCCAGCCTTGATGAAGAGAAGGAGCGACTTTCGACGTTGCAGCAGCAGCTATCGAAGGCAACACAGGTGGACCAGGTGGCAGCACTGGCAGAGCTACTGCACCAACACTTTCCGGCCCTCTTGATCTTTTTGCACCCTGAGCACAGTGCATTGGGTGTACACCTCCGCAAAGTACTTGGCCCCGACCTTCCAGCCAGTCTGATCTTGGAGGCCATGACCGAAGTGGACCAAGTGTTGACGCTCTCCTGCCTGGGTCAGCTTGAGCTCCATTACAACCAAAACCACAAGGTGTACAAAGCTCGTGCAGCGCTGCCAAATCGGCCTGAGCAAGAACAGGATTTGGCTGTCAAGGAGTATGCATTTGCCCAGCAACACAAGCAAAATCAGTGTCGTACGTTTCTGCGCGAGCTTCGCGCCATGCGCCAGCTTGAGCATCCAAACATCGTTCCAGTCCTCGGTGCGCTTGTGGGCGTGCATGATGGCCACCCAAGCGCCTATCTGGTGCAGCCGTGGTGTACACAGGGGGATCTGCAGCAGTGGCTCGGCAAGGCGCGCCATCTGGCCACCTCGACCGTCGTTGCGAGTTTGATGACGCAGCTGCGCATGGCCCTGGCGTTTATGCATAGCAA